CGAACCGCGCGCGGACCCTGCCGTTTCGTGGGGCGGGCCTGCGGGCTCGGACTGTACCACCTTCTGGAACCCGGGGCTGCATACGGGTCGCGCCTCTTCTGCGAGGGGTCACCAGAGTTCGGCTCCCACTACCTCCTCCGAACCGAGCCCGCAGGCGGACCGTGCCACTGTGCCTCGTTGCCCCAAAACTAACCACCGAGGTGAGAGGTCCGCGAAGACGGCGGAGGGCCGTGAGGCGGGACCCCAGGCACCTTAGGGGGCGGGACCCGGGAGACCGTCCGCGAACGGGTGGGGCTTAGGGACTTAGGTGCTGGAGGGAGGAGGGACCGCTGGCCCGCCTCCGGGGACCTCCAGGAGGAGAGATCTGAGACTCGGGGAGTCTTCTAGGGACCAAGGAGACGAGTGGGCTCCTGGATTATGTGACAGAAAAGAGACGAGGGCCAGACGCCTGGGTCTCCGAGGCGGGAGCCCGGGGTGCCTGGGTCCCCGAGGCTGACTCTTGGGTCCCCTACATGGAGGGATCCGAACCCGTGGGTCCCCCAGGAGGAAAGTGTCCGGACCGCTGGGTCTGGAGTTGGGAGGATGTGGACCCTTGGACAGTGGAGGTGAGGCAGTCTGGACTCCTAGGTCCTTGAAGCGGCGCGCTCCGGGGCCGGGAAGACTGGGTGTTCACTTGCCTCCCCGCATCAGGTCCCATACAGCTGTGGCAGTTCCTCCTGGAGCTGCTCCACGACGGAGCGCGGAGCAGCTGCATCCGCTGGACAGGCAACAGTCGCGAGTTCCAGCTGTGCGATCCCAAAGAGGTGGGGCAGCCACCCGGTCCCGCCAAGGCTCTTGGTTCAACCAGTCCCGCCTTTCGCCGTCGCCGGGTCCTTGGCCCCGCCCGGCCCCGCCCCCAGGCCCCGCCCAACCCTTCTCCTCCCTGGCCGTGCGGCCCGCCCCCACCCCCGCCTCCGCCAACCACATCTCCGTCGGGCTCCGCGGCACCCGGCGCTCGTCAGCGCCACCCCCGCCCCGCCCCGCCCCCCGCGCCCGGCCCCGCCCCCCCGCGCCCGGACCCGCCTCTTCCTTCCCTGA